AAACTTAATTGGGGGTAAATATTAAGTATGAATAAATTTTTATCATTATTATTCACTATATAATATTTATTTCTATATAATTCATCATAAAAAATTTTAATTACAAGTCAGCATAATTAGATCGCTAATCAAATACAAAAATGAAATATGATTCCTACAAATTCGATGAAACACTCACCACATATTTTCATTGTTCAAATTTGTGTAAAGTAATTGTTCAATTCTTTGACAATATCAAAGCTTTGTCCTCCCTGCGCTTAAAGCCAAAAAATTATATTCCTTCTATTTGAATTTATGTGATACTTTTTTATTTTCAAGATTCAAACTTTTTAATTATGATTGAATATTTGAACATGAATCTTCAAAAGTTTTGGAATAAAATTTATATATTTAAAAATTACGTAAAACAATACTAATTATAGGTCAATTCCAAATATCTAAAAGGCATGTGAAATATTATATTTAAAATATTGATTCTCGAAATTCAAACACCTCCACATAAATTAATATGGAGGAAGTAATAGTAATCAAATAGAGTGGAAATATCAAGATAAGGTCATAATTTGTTTATAATATGGACGCCGAATTGGACCTCATAAGGAAAAGATTGGATTTTGCTTTTCTGTTAATGTTTTTTTCTCCAAGGAAAGATAGGGAGGGTCGGAATGATACTGTTTCTGACTTTTCGGAATCCTGCCAATAATATCTTCTACGTTATCTTTGACCCACAGAAAAGACATGTTGCTTAGAGAGGTGTAATTGAAAAGGGCAAAATGACTTCGTAGTCATTTAAACTTGCACCTGATTTTCTTCCCGATAAATAAATTTTTAATTTTTCCATTTAAGCATCTCTACTTGTATATTTGAGAATTAATAAACCCCTTCGTAAGTTAGAACATAGCGCGTGCATTACAAATTTACAAACATGGCAATCCAGTCAGCAAAAGATTAATTAAAACTCTACACTTGAAAACGTCGCAATCCAGTCAACAAAAGACCAATTAAAACTCTACACGTGGAAGGCATAAAAATACACCCTCCATGACTATTTCCCCCTCGTTTTGACCTATAGACTAAACAACTCTCTGCAACAATACGAAAATCCAAAGAATCATTCATCAAAATAAAAACAAAAAGGAAAAGATTTGCCAAATGTTGCGAATAGTGATAATAGATGAAAATATTGGCTTGTTAGCAGAGTAGTGATGTTTCCAGTTTTCCGCGTAGGGCCAACCAAGAGCGGTTATACGAGTCCGGAACTAAAATGTGGTTCTTTTGGACTCAAACTACACAAATTGGTGTAAAAAAAAAAAGTTACCATACTATATATAACGCCAGAAAATCTGGCGCTATACATTAACGGTATAGCGCCAGATTTTCTGGCGTTATACAAAAAATATCTGACACAGCTGATATAGTGCCATAAAAAGTGGCGCTATATGTATATACTCTTTCTTTTTCTTTTTGGTAATTATTAGACATCAATTTACTACAATCATTTAGTTATTGCTCTATTATTTATGAATATTCATTTAATAAGTTTTCTAATATTTAATAATAGTCATTAATGATTTTCCTAATATTTAAAACTTTGAAATCAATTAAAACTTTATATGTTAGTAAAATTTTCCTTATCTTAATTATGTAGATTATTTTCACCCCAATCATTTAGTTATTGCTCTACTATTTATGATATTAAAAAATTATTACCTCCCAAATGAAGAAACAATATAAGGTAATATATTTTTATAAAATTTCATCGAATTATTGCATTCCATCTCTTGTTTGATCGTGGGCTAATTTGATCAACTTCTGAACTCAATCGGATAAAAAAAGTTAAATTATAACTACTATACGTTTTTTTCTTATTAAAATGACAAAAATTACATTTAAAAATTATTCACGGAATATTTGGGTTGGTTCTTGACTGGCAAACAATTTTGGACAAATAAATTTGATCCAACTTGTTAATGCGACTTGGAATTGAAAGTTCGTCAGTTTAGGACAGTCAAACCTCTTTATAACAGGTTCGTTTGTTTTAGTTTTTTTTATTGTTATAGCTAATTGATATTATAGAGAACATATATTATAATCTAGTATAGAAATTGGTTCCTAATATGTAGATTATTTAGAACTTTCCTTATCTTTATTATTATGATCTAATTATAAATATAGTGTACTTATTATTATTTTTAATATTATTAACTTGTTCAACTAATTTCGATAGAATTTGCATGAATTTAATCGCTTAATTTATATATAAGACATAATTAGTGATTAGTTAGTAGAAAGTGGTTTTCTTAAATAATTTTTATGTGTAATTTTTGATAAATTAAATATTTAAAATAATTGAGGGCATTGTAGTAAATTTATCAGTTAAAGTACAGTACGATACAGTCAAACCAAACAGCAAAATATTATTTAACAACAACGAACAATACAATCTATCCAAACATTGTATTCATAAAACGATACGATACAATACAATACAGTACAATACGATACATTATAAAACGATGGGGAACAGTGATCCAAACTGAGTGTTAGCTTCTTTTTTTTAGGAGTTGACAACAACACTTTTTTTTCATGACGTCCGTAATATTTCTTGTTAGTTTTAATAAATGGCAGCAATTTTAGTTTTATTATTGGTATATATGATAATAATCATGAACTGCTACTTGCTAACACAAATTTTAATCTTGTGGTAGTACAATATATTCAAAGTGCAAATAAATTGACAACAACATATTTGATAGTTATTTCATATGTCTAATAATTACCAAAAAGAAAAAGAAAGAGCACGTAGCTCTAGAAGAACATATAGCGCCACTTTTTATGGCATTATATCAGCCGTGTCAGATTTTTTTTGTATAACGCCGGAAAATCTGGCGCTATACATTAACGGTGCAGTTACCGTTAATGTATAGCGCCAGGTTTTCTGGCGTTATATATAGTATGGTAACTTTTTTTTTTATACCTATTTGTGTAGTTTGAGTCCAAAAAAACCACATTTTGAGGGTCCCCTTTGTTAAGTGGCCAATATAAAAGTCAATCAATACGTTCCCCTTTTTTTTCTTAGTCACACTTTCTTTCAATTTTTAAGGCATAGAACTTGAGTGATGATGATAGAGAAGTTTAACTTACCCAGTCTAATTGACTTTGTTACTACAAATAGTGCAATAATTTGTGTCTAATTGACTTGAATGAGTGAAAAATATGGGGAAAAAAAAAAGTGCAGAGCTTAGGTCTGCGGCTTTTCTTCAAATAAGGAAGAAGAAACCCTTAAAATAAATGCCCTTATTACGGTTGGGCATTGGGAAAAGGAGCTTCAAATGTGAAACACACGCATATCGGTTGATTAGGACTAATTGATGCCACATGTGTATAATCAATGATCAAAGTTATTTATTAATTCTCAAATATACAAGTAAGGGGCTTAAATGGGAAAATTAAAAATTTATTTATCGAGATGAATCAGGTGCAAGTTTAAGTGGCTATAAGGCCATTTTGCCATTGAAAAAACCAAAAAACTCGAGTTCATCCTTCGACTATATTTTATGGAAAGAAATAGGTACTCCTATAAGTTAAAAAATTTCCTGGCCTTTTACTTTTGAATACAGTAGGTATAATGACATATTCTTATCAATATTTTAAACAAAGATAATGATGTCCTACTGAAACTTTAGATGGTATTTATTATTGTAATTTTCTGTTTTTCCTTTACATTTGTAAATACACGCCTGGCCATTTTACGTTTATACACAGTAGGTAACTAAAATGACATTTATTCTTATCAATATTTTTCAACAAAGATAATGTTGTTCTACCGGAACTTTGTGGTTGGTAGCGAATATATTAATTAATCGCATTTAATGGAGTTAATTTAGGGGAGTTCAAATCGAACATGAAAATCACGTCAAATCAAAAAGTCTAACAAAATCTATTACAAAAATCCGATTAAATTTGATATTTAGCAAAAGAACTCAAACCAAAAATCTACGTATAAATATATAATTTTTATATATACTTTAGTTTATATAAAAAAAAATTTAGAAAAATATCTAAAATATTTGTGATCCTCTTATGGGATGTAATATTGAAGAGAACTATGAAGTGCATCCATTTTATTTACTTTAAATAATGGTTTATATTACCACTTTTTTAAAGTGTTACCAAAATGCGTCAACCTTTTTGTTCTTCCATATTCATGTGTCAAGATCTATTAAACTCTTATATCTTTTTTAAATTTAAAATAGTATTTTATTGGTAATTATAAAATTAAATAGAACATATCACTATTTAAGTTTCATATTAATTTTTGTGTTTAATTATTAAATTCGATTAACCTTGAAAGTGTACATTAATGAAAAATTATTGTTAAACGACTAAGAAAATAACTATCATGAGTTAATAAAATAATTCTCCCATAATAATATTTTAATAAATTATATGTTTATTAGTTTTTTTTAATTTTTATTAAATATATATTTATTTACCAAAACGTTATCTATAACTTTTATATAAAAGTAAGATTGAAATAACATTTATATAACAAACCAACCTGAAAAATCTAAAAAATCGAATCAATTCAAACCGATTTAGTTGGTTTGATTTGGTTTAGAAAAAATGGAACCAGTCCAACTTATGTTCACACCTAGGAGGTATCGTGTAGTTTTGTTTCGCCGATACCGTTTCCTAGAGTACGCATTTGATTACGCAAACGAGCTTTTCGGTATGCCACAGGGAAGGTATCTGTTTTTATGTATTATTTTAGTTTTCAGTTTTCATAGTGGAAGATTTGCTTTTCGTTTCTTTTTTATTCCCTTTAATTTATTGGCTGTTTTTACATGGTATGATTTAGTTTTGATTTGAAATATTGAAATCATAATGTGCATGGCGCGTTGGTATATGGTTTTAATAGATTATTGTAGAATAATAATAATAATTTTATTGTGATATAATAACCTAGAAATTGTTTTAGTTTTCGAAAAACAAAAGAATTAAGTTTAAAAAATTGAAAAAATTCTCTCTCTACCAAACGGGACAGAATCAACAAAATCCCCTTTTCAGCGCTTGAGGCCAACGCGCCTCCCCCATGGGCACGCCGGAGGAGTCTCCACCGGCGCGTCTTCCTACTCCGTCAGAAGGCTAGAATGAGGCAAACCTCATGAATGGAGGTGACTCGAAGAATCCAGGCTATGCGGCCACGATAGCTAGTCCTCCATCTCTCAGTAAACCTCCTAAAGGCTATGGATGCCCAATAATCCAAGCTCGCACCACCACCCATAATGGAATGCCAGCAGTCATTTTTGAGGTTAAAGATTACTACAGATTCATGGCCGAAGAATACAAGCTCACCATTGTAGGTAAAATTTTTAAGCCTCCCTAAGATTGAGGTCATTAGAGCCGCTTTCATGGAAAGAGTAGCAATCAAACGGTTTGTTAAAATTGGTGCCTATGATAATTAATACTGTTTTTATCGACTTTAGTAATGAGGAAGATTTTAAAAGTGTCTACTACATAAGATCTATTAATATGCACGGGGCTCAAATGTGGTCCCCTGATTTTTAACATAAACACAGTTCCCCTATGGTTCCTGTTTGGGTGATGCTGTCTGAGTTGCATTTCCATTGTCGCACATGGTACTATGTGAGATAAATTTTTGGTCCAGTGGGTACTCCTCTTTTATGGATGCTGCTACCTCTTGCGGAACTTGACCGAGTATGGCAAGGTCAGGGTGGAGGTAGACCTCACTAAATCGTTGCTAACTTGTGTCTGAGGAGGACACAATTTTGAGGATAGCCCACTAACGAGATTTACTCAGAAAGTGAAATTTGAAAGTGTTCCTAAGTACTGTAAGCATTGCAAAAGACTTGGACACTCTTTAGTTCAATGCCCGAATGTCAGTGACGACCCGATAGGATGTTGTGTAGATTTCCCTGTTTCGAGACCTCTATTAGCTTCATTTGATATTTTTTATTTGCATGGGTGGTCCATGTCATTTTCCGAAAAGTATTACGTAAAAATTTGAAGAAAAAGTAATTTTAGGCTTAAAATGGGACTTGAGTTGACCACGGTCAACATTCTTGGTAAACAACCTCTGATTGGTGTTTAGACGATCCGGTGGGTTCGTATGATGTTTTTTGATTTGTACGCACTTTTGGTTGGGATCCAGGGTGACCCTAGTGCATTTCGGCGCGTTATGTGAATAATTGTGAAAATGAGTTTTTAAGTTGGAAATCATGAGTTTTGATGATCGATTCCTGTTATTTGATGTTATTTTGATGATCTGAGTTAGTGAGCAAGTGTATATGATGTTATTATACTTGTGTGCATGTTTAGTTTAGAGTCCGATAGGCTCGGGTGAGTTTCAGAAGCATTACAGATGAGTTTGGATGGTTTGGATACTGCTGATGCATCTCCTATTTCTGGTGTCTATTGCAGATGCGAGCTTGGCTTTTGCGAACAAGAGTTTGTATTTGCAATGTTGGGACGAGGGGCTGGAACTTTGCTTTTGTGAAGAAAATTTTGCATTTGTGAACTAAGTGAGACTGCATTTGCAATCTCAGAGTCGCATTTACGACACAATATATTGGGGGTGAGTTTTGCATTTGCGAAGTGTTTGTCCGCATTTGCAATGGGGGACAGTTCCCGTTTGCGAACAAAATGTCGCATTCGCGACTTAGCTGGTCGTGATGCACTAATCGCATTTGCGAACAGTGTCTCGCATTTGCTGACATCGCATTTGCGAACAAGAGTTCGCAAATGCGACACCTGCAACTGGGTAAAAGGAGGGGGGGGGGGGGACGGGACTTAGCTCATTTTTCACCATTTCTCAATCCTAAACACTCTAGAGGCAATTTTTGAAGAACTTTTTCTTTCCAAATTTAGTGTTAAGTAACTCTAATCCACTTTCTTTCAATTTCCCATTACTTTTCATGAGTTTTTAACTTAAAATCTAGGATTTTCGTGGTAGAAATTAGGGATTTGGGTAAAATTTAGGAATTTTGTAAAATTGCGATTTAGACCTCAAATTGATGTCGGATTTCGAAACGAAATACGTAACCGGGCTCGGGGGTGAATGTGTAATCGGATTTTGGTCCGAATCTCGAATTTTGATCAAGCAGGCTCGGGTTGACGTTTGTTGACTTTTCAATTTCATCAAAGATTGAACCTTTTTCATTCATGGGTAGTTTCTAAAGCTTACTTTGAATTGTTTGATCGATAATTGGCTAGATTCGGTTGGTTTGGAGGCTTGTTCGAAAGGTAAGGTCGTGGTTGGTTGATTTATTTGGTTGCGGATTGAGGTAAGTGTCGTTCCTAACTTTGACTTGAGGGAAATAAGACTTATTGGGATATTTGTTATGTGATTTATGTGGGAAAATGACGTATATACGAGGTGATGAGTGTATATGCTTTGTCATGAGGTTAAAGCATGCGGGATTGGGCTATTCAGTTCCATGTCTTTGTTTATTCCATGTTATATCTAGTTACATACATTAGTTGCTACATGTTCTTACTTATTATCCATGATTTACTTGTTATTTGTTATTTAATTGTTACTTATTTCGATTTGTACAATTCTCACCCAACATCTGCTTACCCGCTACATTCTTTTAATTGTACTAATTGTATATTTCTGATGCCTCATATTTTACTTGCTTTTATTGTCCTTATATTACATGAAGAGCATTATTATGTCATTCCATTTATGTGAGCCATTTAGCTATTTCGATATCAATATTTGGCCAAGATTTGGGATTATGAAGTATTGGTTATTCTCCGTTTGTGTTGGTAATTCCTTATTGTTTTCATTTCCCTTTTGTGTTGATATTTCGTGGATAGTGGTGTTGAGTTCTTTATGTTAATGAATTGATGTGGGGAACAGGTTGCACGCCGCAACAATATTGAAATGAATTGATATTGGAGGATCGGGTTGTACATCGCAACATGAAATGATATGATATGATGTTGGGATCGGGTTGCACGCCGCAACTGATTTGAGGTGTTGTAGTTGTTTGTGACTGTAGAGTTTATTCTCGATATTGTGATACGAGATTTGAGATTATGTTATTCTAGGGACCTCTGGTAGTTCATCTTTGGGTCCGTCTATATAAGTTTTCCGTTTTATCTGTATGTTTGTAGTTTGTTATTATTATTCGTATAGGTTTATGTGAGTGTCTTATCATAGCCTCGTCACTACTTCGTCGAGGTAAGGCTTGTCACTTACGGAGTACATGGGGTCGGTACTCATGCTACACTTCTGCACTTCTTATGCAGACAGGTGTTATTTTCAGCGGCGTGTAGAGAAGTTCTTGCTTGGATCGACTTACAGCAGGAGACTTGAGGTAGAGCTGCTGACGTTCGCATTCCCTGAAGTCCCCTTCTATTTTGTCTTTATTGTTTACCTTGTTTCAAACAATTATATTTTGTTTAGACTTCTTTGTAGAACTCTAGTATGCTCATGTACTCGTGACTCCAAATTTCTAGGATATGTATAGATTGCGCAACAGTGTATTTATCACATCTAATTCAGTTTATTTCAATTTCATTTTATTAAGGTTCTGCTTTAAAATTGCTAAAATGGATAAATAATTTGCTAATGTTGGCTTTCTTAGCAAGCGGATGTTAGGCACCGTCACAACCCTACAGTTGGGATTTCAGATTGTGACAAGTTGGTATTGGAGCATTGGGTTGCCTAGGTCACACGAGCCATGAGCAAGCTTACTAGAGTTTGGAGGATCGGTACAGAGACGTCTATGCTTATCTTCTAGAGGCTATAGGCTTTAGGGAAGTTTCACTTTTTTCTTTCTCTATCGTGCAACTTTATTCTATCACTAAAGTTGAACCATTCTATTATTGTTCTCTCGCAGATGGTGAGGACACACACAACATCCACAACCAGACAGGAGCTGGAGCCCTATGTTGCAGCTATTACCAGGGGTAAGGGCCGAGGCCGAGGTAGGGGCTGAGGCAAAGGTAGGGCTCAGCCTAGAGCACGTGTAGCAACACCCATTGCAAAGCCTCAGATCGAGCATGAGGAGGAGATCCCTGTTCAGACCACACCAGTCGGACCTGCTCAGGTCCTGGAGGGATTCATTGCTACTCCCGTACTTTAGGACGCCCTAGTCCACTTACTGGGCTTTATAGAGAGTGTCGCCAGGCCAGAGTATTTACTATGGCACCAGTTGTCTCTCAGGCTGGGGGAGGAGCCCAGACTCCCGCTATTCACGCTCTGGAGCAAATGGCACCATATATCAGACTATGACAGTTCCAACAGTTAGAGTGGTTCTCCTGTTATTGCTACACATCTACAGGGCAGGCCCACTGTCGTGCCCCACTTTCTCGCGAAAGTGGGCTTTGACTCGTGACAACTCTTTTAAAGGAGGTATTAAAAGAGAAGAGTCGCCACCTAACGATTAGTAAGGTGTGTTAGGGAACATATTTGCGAATAACTCAGTTTGACTAGTCAACGCCACCAAAGATCGGGTAAGGGCTCAAATTACTTCAGAGAGATGGTGTTAGGCACTCTTCGAGGTCTACAGTTTAAACTATGTGAATTATGTAATTAGGCTAAGTGATCAAATAAATAAAGAGAGATTTTAAGTCAAAGAGTCTTATTATAACATATGAGTATCGGTACAAAACTTAATATGGCTACAAGGATACAACTACATTGGTCTATATTAAACGACTAAGTGTAGATATCAAGCATATAAAGGAAAGGGGGTCCTAAATTTTTTAGCCTAAAGGATCACCTCGTGCAACATAAATAATACTTCGCAACTTCCTTTAGGTAGGAGTTGCTCATATTATTAGCAGGCACACACTATCATCTCCTGCTACCCGATTACTATATTGAAGTTGTTTACCTAAAAGCGTTCTAATTCTATTCTAAGTCGTACCCTATGCATGTACTACCCCTCCCATGCCTATGGTCCAAGAGGCTTCGGACCTACTATTTAGGTGGTTCTAGACTTTACTTAGGTTTCTCAAAATGACAAAACTGATCGCATATTCAAAACAAGTTGGACTGCACATACTAGCAACGAGTGGCTCATGTTATCCTTCACACATAGCAACAAAGGCACGCAAACAGATTTCAGATTATGTAGCGAGGAGTCGTGAGCAATTTTAGAATCAAGATGTATGAAAATAGTTTAATAGGCATGGCTTCTATGTGACCACATGGCTTAGTAAAATCTCGTGGGTAGTGCTTCCAGTTAGATTACAGATTAAAAAGTGTTATTAAAGTCTATAGACATGATCTCTAGGTGATACACGCCTGAGGTTGTGAGGCCATTGGAAAAACTAAGAATTACTCATTTTGATCCTATTGGTATGCTTTCTAAGCGAGTAGCAATATCCTATAGGCAGGTTCTCTAATAGTTGATATTCGAACACAGATTCGTTATGCTCATTCCTATATGCACGTTGTCTAGGAGGGCAGTGCGACAAGGACAGTAGAACAGAAATTTGATTAATCAATTAAGACCATATAAACATGGCATCTAGATGAATATCTATGGAGATATATCTAAATTATTTAACACGATCAAATAGACATGTTAACTAACAATTGCACAGTAATAGCACAAGTTGAGCAAATGATCAACGATATTTGAATCCTATAAGCATGCTATCTAATGGTGTATAGAAACAGAGCATGTGAACAACATAAATACTTATTTTTAGACATGTTTCTGATGTTAGCAGGTAAAGCATTTAGGTTCCTACAGGCATGCTTTCTATCAGTGTATAAAAAATAGGGCGTGTCAAACAAAGTAACAAGAAAAGCAATTAAACCCTACAGACATGTTTTCTACCGACTCATGTGAGAATGAAAGTACCCTATCCCCCTTTTTACTAATTTTCCCATCTGTTTTGTTTGTAAATTATTATAGACCCAAAATAATGAATACAAGTGTAAATATTACATACTGAAAGACTACAAACCTAATAAACAGAGCCGACCCAAAAAAAGAAATAACCCAGTATTGCCTGGGCCTTCAGCAAGATCTCTTTTCACACGAATAGTAGACCCAGATCCAAACACACATCAAACATGAGAGTGTATCAATTGCACAACTTGGGGCCACACATGAACTCGTACCAGGAAACTCTGGAGTCTATTAACAATAATACCTCATAGGGACATGATTACATAAACATATCGTCACTTGTTTTTTTAGAAGCTAAGGGGGCAGGATTGGTCAAACAAGAGGGCTTGAACATGTCAACTAGGTGGACTAGCTTTAACATAGCAAGTTTGACATAGAAAAGCTAACACCATATTGAGTAATCATTCAACAAAGGAAAGGGTGAAGCATGCTGAGCATAGTCACACATTAGGAGGGCTTAAGAAGAAGGTCTAATGGGTTAACAGGGTAAACAAACAGACATGCTAAGTTTCCAGAAATCAAGTTTGTCAAAAGGTATAAGCCAGAGTTGGTCAAAGAAGACTTTAGACAGGTTAGCCTAAATCATAGTAGTTATACTCAGAAGGATAGCAATTTCACATGAAGATTTCTAATATGGAAGCCTAACATGATCACAAGCAATACAACAACAACCTAGTAGCATGGTCTACAACAAATGATAACAGTGCCAAAATCTGGAGAACTCATGAAAATATGTGAACTTACGAAGAAAAGGATAGGCAAGCATAATAACTCATATCACTTAACCAGACATAAGAGAAGAAGCTAATATAGAAGTTTTCCCTAGAAGCAATGCTAAAGACATAAGATTTACAAATCGAACATACATTAGTACTTGAATGGCATGGAAACATGCCTTAGCTTATCCGACAACCTTAGAAATTATTTACGTGAAAATGGTAACGACAATGTAATTTATTAAATGGGACTCTAAAAATACGTAATCTATTCCCAAGCTAGTTTGTTAGAGCAGATGATGCTAGTATTATGAATTTTACCGATAGGGGGAAGAGATAAACGAGATAACGACCGAACCAAATGGTCCGCTATCCGGGCGTAAGCTTGGTCAATCGGGACTTCGAGGTCGACCTCGAGGTCGAGCTCGGGTTGTCGGGGATACTCGAGAGCAGTATAACAGCTATAGATATAATCAAACAAAGCTACTTAGAACTGAAATTGAATTATACTATGAAGAACACATGTAGAGGCTAAGAATATCGAAGTATCCTTAGCATCAGTGAGAGTCAATAAGTATTAGTAAGAAAAAAAAGAGAGAGAGAGAGATATTATTGCACTTGTAGAATTGTGTGATGTTTCCATACAACGCATTAATGGCTCCCCTTTTATAGGAGGGAGGAGCCTAAACTTAGTACAAGAGACGTTGTGTGATAAGAAAGAGGGGATGGGACAGCCAACTAGCTTTATAATGTGCGCGTGGGCTGATGTCGAGTTGCTCGAATAGATTTAGTCGACCCTGGATACGTTCTTCGGGAGCTTTCTGTGTTCAGAGGGGTTTCGGTCGATGTTACCTTCGGCTGGGCGTCGACACCTCTTGGGGGAAATGGCCAGCTCGAGACCCCGGACCTCTAGAATGATCTATCGAAGCATTTTGCCAATGGGAAGTCGGTCCTCCAATTTCACCGTGCACAGATAGTCTCCGCATTTCTTAGAGGGTAGCGATAAGAAATGTTTTTGACACCCCCTTCCGCGGATTCTTGAAATTACCTCATGTAGTTGTCGTAGCCTCTCCCACAAATGTCGAGGCGTTTCACCTTTTCGCTCCCCCTGGGTTATTCAGAAATATCATGACTCCTTGCTCCTCGGGATCATATTGTTGTTTATTGATTCAGCTTTTATAAACGCATTAATTGCGCCTGTTGTTGCGCTTTTCGAGGGCAGTAATGGCGTCGTCGGTTACTTTGTACCCCCCCTATATATGGGGCTTCTAGCGATCAACTTTTCATTCGAACTTCCTTCGATATTCATCCTCCTCTCCTTTCCTGCCATTTTTTTAGTTTTTGCTATGTTTGAGGCCCTCGGCCTCAAGACCTTACGCCATACATGCCATGCCCCAACTCTCAATCCCTTTTTGGTTGGACGAAATTGTGTCGCCGTGAGGTTATCGTTGTTGTTGTTGTTGTTGATGTTGTAGTAGTTGTTGTTGCTGTCCCCGCTGGATCAGAGCGACGAAGTAGGGGATCGATTTCCTCCGAACCGGAGAAAAATTCGAATTATGCACCGCTACTCAAAGAGGGGCTCGGATTATACACCGCTGCTCAAGGGGGGCTCGGATTATACACCGCCGCCCACCCTCCTTCCTCAGCTCGGCGTGTTAAACCCTCTTTGGATTCCTGAGGGGTATGGTGATGGTCTCCGCCGATTGTTGCCTCCCGGGGTGAGGCAACGCTTCAGAAAATGGCTTCGAGATGGTGGTACTGGTGGGGTTTGTACCAGCCAAACTTTTCACCCAGCCACTTCCGGTCTTCTTCCGGCATCTCTTCGTCATTTTGCTCTTCTCCTCCGCCTCCCTCTTCTATATCCTTCCTTTTGGAGATGCCATTTTGGGAGGATTTAGGATGAGATCCCCGAAGGGATCGACCATGGAAGATATTGTCTTTGAGGTCGTATGCCTGAGGCGGTGGTAATGGAAGCGCAACATAAACAGGCTAGATCCTTAGGCTTGCATATTACCTGTGTTTCTTCCCTCTTTTTGTGTATAATGTAATCGTATGTAAGGATATCTCGAGGATTATTGTAAGTGAATACTTTTGCAAATACAAAAGACTTTCTCTTGGTTTCTTCCTTCGATGTTTGCCGCGTTCGTTTGCGTTTTTTGGTGACATCAAATGTGTGTTCCTGTTATGTCGGCTGTGATACTGGCCTCGGGCACGAGTGCCGCGTCCGGCCTCATGTTGACAAACTAGCCGTATGCGGGGTCCTTTTGTGACTTCTCCAACTGGGCCCAAATTGGGCCAACAACTTCGGACCGTTGGAGCTCCTTCTCCGTGCGAAAGTGTGATCGAAGCCTTTGGGCCTCGTAAAACGGCCGTTGAGAAGAGACTTGTCCGAGGATCCGCGGTCTCAAAATGCCGGTAACTTTCTGGAGGTGATCTCTGAATGGAGATCCGGTTGTGCTTCGGGCCGTCCCGGTCATTACCCGGAGTCTGTTTTGTGAGGGTGTTTTTGTTAAGTATGCCTCTTCCCTTGTAAATCAGCCCCCTATGGCAAAGGCCTCTTGGGGCTGTATGCCAATTTGACGGAGACATTGTTGGTCTAGTTTTGGGCATTGTTTTGTTATGGCGGTAAGTCCTTGGGGTCAGAGTGTCTGTCGGGGGTTGGCGCCTTTGATTGGTGCTGGCTCGTTCCGGCCCTTTTCTTATGCGCTTGTGAAGTTGCTTCCGTTCGTGGGTTCCCGGAGCTTGCTGGTTTTGTGGAGCTTGGCGGATCATGCCCTTAGCAGCTGCTTGCCCGGGGCGCGGCATAAACCGGGCATGACGATGGATGAGACGTGTGCTGGATACTTGCGAAGGAGTTTTTATTGAGGCGAGACTGGCCCGAGCCTCCGAGGAGAGTGCATTGTCCGAACCTGATGTTGTTCCTTAATGCCAACAAGGGTAGGGCTACTTAGGAGGGTGTTTGGACGTT